AGACCAATAAAGATTTTGATAGACACCGGGTCAGAAATAACCTTAATAAACAGAAAATTAATAGAAGAAGTACAGTTGACAAATTTAATATACAAAATACCAAGGGTAAATTTGGTGGGTGCGAATAAACGGATTTTGGCAACGATAAATGAAGGCATACGAGTGATGGTACGACTGGATAAAAAAATGTATGCATTACAATGTGTAATAATGCCAAACATGTCGCATGACATGATTGTAGGAGTGGACGAACTGGCAGAAAAACATGTAGTAATAGATTTCAAAAATAACACGATGAAACTGACTGAAGAAAAGGAAGGAGAACAGGAAAACGAACATGGGAAACAGAAAATTGATATTTCGGAGAAAGAACAAACAGTGGAAATGAATCTGGCAACGAAGCAAGGACAAAGAAGAAAAAGGAAAAGACTTAAGAAAAGGATAAAGGAAGTCAATACCGGGGATTCCTCAAAAGAAGAGATGAGCCCCGAAGAAGAAGAAGAAGAAAGAATATCAACAAAGGAAGATGAAAACGACATAATTGAAACAGTGGTTTTTAGGGAAGAGATTAATGAAAAAGAGGATGAAGAATGGACGATAAATATGTGTCAAGAATCTGAGGAAAGAGAAATTAAATTGATGTGTGGAGAAGAAAGAGAAAATGAGTTGCGTTTGATATTAAAAAAATACGAAACGTTGATAAATGAGGAAAACAGAGTGGCCAGAAAGTACGAACATTCATTTGAGGTAAAAAACTTGGGAAATTTTCGATCGAAAACGTACCCGATTCCATATAAGTATCGACAACAGGTGAAAGAAGAAATTAATAAAATGTTGGAAGATCAAATAATTGAACGATGTGATTCACCGTATATTAATCCAATTGTAATAGTAAAGAAAAGCAGTGGAGAATTGAGACTATGTTTAGATGCCAGAAATATCAACCAGCACACGGTATCACAATATGAATCACCTCTAAACATCGAGGCCATATTTGGAAGAATTACAGGGTCACACATATTTTCTAAAATTGATTTAAAGCATAGTTTTTGGTTGATACCTTTAGCTGAAAAATGTAGAAACTACACCGCTTTCTCAATTGATGGTATTGTCTACAGATTCAAGGTAGTGCCTTTTGGTTTACAAAGCGCTTGTGCAGCACTGGTACGGGCTTTACATTCGATTTTAAATCGATACGAAGATTTCATAGTCCATTACATCGACGATTTGTTGATTTTTTCACGAGATGTACAGAGCCATATGAAACATATAAAAATAATTCTGGAAGAATTGGATAGAGCGGGATTAAAATTAAACATCGAAAAATGTCAATTTTTCCAAAAGGAAGTAATTTATCTAGGGTTTCAATTGGACACTAAAACAGTCAGCCTAGCCGAAGATCGAGTCAAGCTCATTGATGAATATCCAAGACCAACCAATTTGAAAACATTGAGAGGTTTTCTTGGCACGATCAATTATTTTAAAAAACTAATTCCCGATTTAAGCCAGAAGGAAATTCCTCTAATAAAATTACTAAAAAAAGGGATAAAATGGAATTGGAAAGAAGAACAGGAGAAGGCTTTTCAAATATTAAAACAAGAATTTGCGAAAGGAACGAAAATATACCACCCCAATTATAAAATTAGGAATTTCAAGAATGAAAACGTTACGAAAAATATTATATCCCGGAACAAATTAGATATTGTAGCAATAGATATATTAAGCGATCTAATTATGACAACGAAGAGGAATAAACATGTTTTAGTCATGATAGATGTATTTTCAAAATATGTAAAATTATACAGTTGCCGGACCACGAAAGGCGAAGAAATAATGAGAAACATCGACAATTTTATAGCCACCGTAGGAACACCAAGAAGGATTCTTCTAGACAATGCAACATACTTCAGGAATGATCGTTTCAAGGGACAACTTCGAGAACGGGGAATAGAGACAAATTTTGTTAGCATCAGACATCCTCAGAGTAATCCTTCGGAACGATGTATACAGGAAGTGACGAAATTTCTTCGAATTACAACAGATGGTCAACATCGACGATGGGATCGGAAAGTGTCCGAAGTAGAAATGTATTTAAATACCATCCCAAGCACCGTAACGAAAGAAACCCCAGAATATATAATGAAAGGGATAATGCCGATAAGGCCATGGGAAGATATAAAACAAAAGGAATACACACAGATAATGGAAGATGTGCAAAGGAGATTGCGGAGAGCAAACGAAAAATATATCCAGAGACAAGATCAAAATAGGAAAAGAAGACCAGTTACTTTCCAAAAAGGTGAGAAGGTTATGGTGAGAGCATTGCGAGTGTCCAACATCCCTGGCAATGTATGCGCAAAGTTAATGCCTGTTTTTGAGGGTCCTTACGTAATAAACAATGATAATGGTATAAATAGTTATGTTTTGAAGCATTTGGATTCAGACAAGATTAGGGGAATATATAATATCAACGATGTTTATAAATATTATGAATAAGAGACAAAGAATGTTTGCATAAGAGAAAAATCCCTACATAATTCAGTAATTTTTATCATATGCAAAGGCGGGGATTTATTATACTTCTTCTTCCACAAACGCGGAAGGAACAAAAATAATTAAGGAATCCATCGGAAGTAAGTTTTTAAGAAATCTGAAGACAAAATATGTATTAATTTTAAGATAGAAAGTTTGTATATTTGTAAATAGATAGATTAGTACCGAAATTTTATGACTTATAAAGAACTAAGCCATTCTAAACGAGTTATTGACAAACCATTTGTACATTATAGAAAATAAGCTGTTACCTGAAGGATTAGTCCGGTATTGTGTTGTATAAATCTTCTATTATGACTAAGGCAAAAATCTTTGAAATGTATAAAAATTATTTGTTTACAAGGAAATGACCATTGTTAAAAGATTAAAGTTCCTTGCTTGAAAACGGTAATTAGCATTCCAACAAGTGTGGTAAACAAATTTGGATTTTGTGATGAGACGATCTTCTTGGAAGGAGAAATCGACAGACCGAGGGTTGATAGAGTTTTTGTTGGTTCGAGAAGACAGTGATGTTTGAGTGATCGAAAAGAAAGGTTGCGTCTCGACAGGCGGTGTGTTCGTGAGTTGGAGGCCGGCATTGTTAAGTGGATAAAGTTACGAGTCTTGTTAGCAGAATTGTGGAAGAAGTAGATTGCAAGTCGATGTAAAGAAATCCTTGAATCTAAAGTGTGCAGTTTCTGGAATACGTGTTAAATAGTTGTGGCACCAGGTGAGAAAAGAGATCCTTGGGTCACGAAGAAGTTATATGAATGTTTGAAGAAGTGATTTTCGTGTGTTAAGTGTTGGAGAATTGAGTCAGGAGGTTAAATTAAGTCAGTTAAATTGGCTGAAGGAGCAGATACTGAAACAAGAAGCCGAGGCGCAAGGTGGAAGAACACATTGCTGTGGAAGGTGGACAATTCTTTGTGTGGTCCTAAAACAATCCAGGGAAGAAAGGTCAGATATTTTCCTTTTTCAAGTTGAAAGGTGTGTAAATCTTAAATGCGATTTGTTTACCTCATTGTTGTTACCAGTTTAAAGCATGATTAGACCTTTTTACATTTATTAAATGTTTTAAAGTTTTGTTTCCATAATAAAATAGATTTTTTAAATATAAGGAAGATAAAAGTTTATAAAGGTATCCAAATTTAAATTAGTTTCAAATTGTTTTGTCTCAAGAAGAAAATAAGAATTAAAATTTTCTTTTTGTATTAATTTCATTACATGCATATTCGCTGATTGAAAAGATAACGGCAAATTTAATAATTGTTTTTTTTTTATAAAATAAAAAATATCTGTATTTTATGTATTATACTTTTTATTATTATCCTTTGTTTTTCCTATCCCGATAAATACAACTAGAAAACTTTGAACTCACTGAACATAAGAAATATCAGAAGTTTATTTTTTAGGACATTGATAACGAGAAAGTATATTTTTGTGATTGTTTCAAGTAAATAAATTAAAATCAAAAATACAAAATCATAACAATATATATATATATATAATATTAATAACCTTACAGGCATTGAATCAAACGCTACATACACACTCTTTGCCGATGACACCACGGTCTCCTTCGCAGGACATATACAATTTTGGTCTCGATTGGCGTATTGGACTCTGAAAATTTTTACTGTGGCCTCCCTGTACATCTATTAGAACCTTACGAAGAAGAAAGAAGCTGGGAAGCTTTCAGACCCAAGAAAAGGTGCACGATCATAACAGGTGTGATCTTGTTCCAGCCTATTGGAACCCTAAGAGGTGTCAAACTGGATCAGGGTATTGGGCAAATAAATTTTATAACTGTCTAAGAACTTAAAGAATCTTCGACAACTTAATTTAAAAATAAAATTAAGGAAATTTAAATAAAGAATGTATTTTATAGTAGTGAGTAATACCTGAAATTTCAATTTTAAACTCTTTTAAGTCAAACTGATATGTGTTTTTATGTAATTAGAATTTAAGACTGTTTAATAGAACTATTATTCTGCTTTTATTTTGACGTGTGTTAGGTTACTAGCAAAATTACATCAATAGATGAAAATGAATTTAAATTTGAAAAATTTGATCTGGAAGTTAGGCTGCCAATGGTAGGCTGCCAATTTAAGTTGTGTAGGATGGGATCTCAGGTCAAATAATAGCTTACGAAGGATCTACTACTAACTGGGGTATGAGATACCCCAAAATACTAATGATGAGTTAACAATAAATGTTTATTAGATATTAGATGTTTCGAACTAAAATATGATTCGTAGTAATATTAATTAAATTTTTTTTTTGTGTGTTATTTAGTATTAACGTGTTAAGGTTTTTTACTATTTGGTACTATTTGTGTATCAGTTAGCTTTCATATTAGAAATATTTAAATATTTATATCTGTCATAAAAAAGAGTAATTGGTATGAAACTAAGAAGTCATAAACGCAAATAAATATACAAGACAGTAACAAGTTAATTAATACATACCGATTATGGCATCCACAAAAATTGTGAATGGGTCTATAACAAATAATGTCTTCAGAAGTTAAACTCTCAGTAGAATTGGTAGTTGAAATTTCAGTGACATCTTGCCCAGTGGCTTGAACACCAACAGATTCAATTTCTAAAGTATTAATACTGGTATCTACTAAAGGCATTTTATGACTGCCCACGGGACTTCCAGTCATGTGATTATCTCTAGTAACATTACTGTCTGATGTTTGTGAAAGTTTATTTGCAAATATCTTAGAGCGCATGGACCTCGCTTCCTTCACTGGATATTTATCAACTTCCGAATTTAAAGTCCGTTGTTGGGATGGCTTTAAAATTGAGGGATGACTGGTTTGAGAATTTGTGTCGCAATAGCACGGTCTTGAATCTGCTGTCAGAGCTAAACCTGAAAATAAAATATCTGTCCAGATTAAAGATTAAAATGTTAAATGTAAAACCAACGCAATGATACATTGTATCCTTTTTATTTTTGTTTTTAATATAAAATGTTTTAAATTTATTCTGTATAATTTTGTACCTATTTTCCTCTAAAAGTCTCTCTTCTTTCAAATTTCAACATGATGTGTTTCGACTTTTATCCTGTTATTAAATAATCATCTAAACGCTTTGTATTGGATTTTTTTGGTCAAAAAATTCTTCTCGGGATATTGTTTCTTATTATTCATAGCTTGTCTTCGTCTCTATTAGTTCGGCACATTATCACTGCTGCGTAAGATATGTATGATTGCTGTATTATATATCTTTATTTTGGTGTTTTAATATGTCTCTCTTTTAATAGTTTTTTGTTATTTCCAATATGCTCTATTGCCCGCTTTTATTTTTTCAGTTATCTCTGCACTTCTGTCGTTTGAGCTGTCTACTGTTACACCTAGATACTAAAATCTCTCTACTTTTTGGTCTATACATTTTTCAATTTTTATATTACTATGTTATAATTTTTCTTTGAAATTGACATATACCTTTAGTCTTATTTTTGGTCCTCTAAGTTTCACTTCTTCTACATTAGAACGTATGTATTCTAAGCTTTTCTGTTTCTTGCGGCTATTGCTATGTTGTCAGCGTATTCTATAATTTGTGTAGACCTTTGTGTGATCATCTTGTTGCTTTCAGTTTTTTATTTACTCTGTCCAGAGCTATGTTAAAAATAAGCTGTCACCTTGTCGAACTATATTAGGAAATACAGAAACAATATTCGTAGTTTCTCTATATCCCTCGTTTGTTACAGATTCTGTTACAGAGTTTTCCATTGTCATTTTCGTTAATACAATCAGTTTTAGTGATATACTCATGTTTTGCATTACGAGTAAGGGTTGAAGTATCTTTATAGAGTCAAAGGCTTGCTGGAAATCTATACATAGAGTCATAAATTTATGTCATATTCACAGCACTATTAATAAGTTGTGTTAGTGAGTGAATGGCTTGTACAGTCAATTCGTGTCCTGTCAAGATGTGTCCTTTTTATATATCAGTATTATATGACCCTTTCTCTTCCCTCCATTTGTTCCGGTCCTCCACTTTTTATTAATTTCTTATTGATTATATCCAGTCCTGATAATTTTTCTAAATTCAATCTTTCCACAGTTTCAATAATTTCCTTGTATGCGGGAGCGTCTTTTTCTTCGTCCTTTTCTTCCCTTATCTCTACTTCTCAATATTCCTTCATTGTTTAAATTTGTAAAAATTGAAAGAATCCAAGTTTTCTGTACTAATTGTAGGTCTTTCAGTTGTTTTATTGTAGTTATTTTGTTTTTTAATATAATCGCGTAGTCTCTTGTTTTCTTTGTTATGTGTTTCTATTGCTTCTATATCAATAGCAAAAGAGGACCAGGAAGAAGACGCAACTCCTGGCTTAAGAACCTACGGCAATGGATGAACATGACTTCCATAGAACTATTCAGGGCTGCTACAAATAAGATTAAATGGGCAAATGTAATGGCCAACGTCCTTAAGGATAAGGCAACGCAAGAAGAAGAAAATTGCTTCTATTTGCTCTGTAATCCATTCTGATTTTTCTTTTTATGTAGTTTTACCGCTTTTTTCCTTTTGTGCTCATTTTTTTTTTCATATGTTTCGATTTTTATTCATATAATCCATGCTTGTTTCTTCTCCATATTTTTGGCTTTGTATTCTTCATCAAACCATTCTTTTGATTGACTGTTTTGCCGTATTGTTTCCTCTGCTGCCTCTATTACGCTTATTTTGATGCTGTCCAAGGCAGTTTTTATACCTTCAGTTTCGACCATTTCTAGTTTTTTTTGCTATGTCTTCTGCGTATTCATCGTTTACTTCTTCTATTTTTTAGTTTGTCCAGATTTCAGATTTTTTTGTTGAGTTTGCTTTTTTAATACTTTTAATTTTAATTTTTCAATTACTGATATGTAGTCTGAATTGGGGTTTGCTTCCCTCCATGATGTGACATCTTATAGATTTTTATAGATTTAATAAGTACATGATCTACCTGGTTACCTTCTCTTTGGACTGGAAGTAGCCATGTTATCTTATGTTGTTTTTTATGTCGAAATTTTGTACTGGCAGTGGGCGTGTTTGTCGCCGACGATAAGTTGCATAGTCGTATTTAATTATCGTTCGTTTCTTCGTGAATTTTTTCTTTCACTGCATTTGCTTATTTTATTTTCTTTTTAGCGGTGGCAGTAAAATCTTTTATTATCATCAGAATATCGTTTCTTCTTTATCTCAGAAGCCTCTTCTAGTTGCTCGTAGAAGTTTAATTTGTCTTCATTACTTGCATCTTATCTTGAAGCATAAACGTTTAATATTGACATATTGGTTTGTGTGTTCTTGATTTTGATGTATGAAATTCTTCCACTAATTGCACTGAAATCCGTTACTTAATTAATTACTGATCGTAAATTCAGTCCTCTTTTTTGCCTGCTTAGTTTCCCCGAAGTAAAGTTTTTCTTTTCCATTTTCCCTCCTTTTCCCATCTTATTTCCTAGAGTGCTAACATACATCTTTAAAATACAGAAAATACAGAATTGTTAGAAACCAAATTGACTTCATTTTGCTCAATAACACCTTTAAGAAGTACATACAATCTACGAAGACATACCATGGAGCTGATATACATAGCGATCACAGTCCAGTTATAATGGATTTTAGATTAAAAAGATTTCTCAGAGCCAAAAAGAAAACAGTGATAAGAAAAATAGACATCTCACAACTGAAAAACCCTGAACAGAAATAAAGAAATAAGTATCAAGCTTGAGGAAGAAATAAAAACGATCGAAAACTTGGTACAGACAGATACTGAAGTGACATAACTGCTCTAAAAACAAAAATAACAAAGATACGAGAAGAAGACATTGGGTTCATTAAACACAACAAAAAATAAGAATGGATAACGCAAGAGATCATGGACCTCATAGACATAAGACGTAAACATAAAACAAGCCCAATAGAATACAAGCGAATCAATAAAATCATTAGAAAAAAGTGCAGGAAGACGAAAGAAAACTGGATGTCAACAAAATGCCTAGAAATCGAACAACTTCAGGAAAAATACGACACATTTAATATTCATAAAAAAGTAAAAGAAATGACAGGTAGACACAAAAAGAGACAAGCAACAATATAAAAAAATGATAATAACGAAATAATTAGTTTGAGGTATTTCGTCGAATGTGTAACCAAAAAAAATTACTAAGAATAATTAAATAGAGGAAAATGCAATACTTGGATCATGTGTTGAGAGACGAAAAATATGAATTACTTCAAGTTATACTGGAAGGAAAAGTACAGGGCAAAAGATCAGTAGGAAGACGTCAGAACTCATGGCTGAAAGACCTGAGGAGATGGTTCGACCGCTCATCATAGAAATCTTTCGCGTAGCTGTTTCTAAAACCACAATTGTCATTTGGATCGCCAACCCTCAAAAGGAAACGGTGCCATGAGAAGAAGAATTGTATCAATTAAATATGTATATTCACTAATAAAAAAAAATTAATCAATACCCACATTCTATTTTACATCTTACCTATCCAGGTAAGATGTAAAATAGGAATAGTTTGATATATTTTGATAATTACGCGAGTGCACAATATATCAGATGTAATCCATCAGATGACACATAGGAAGAATGAAAGACAACCGTTTGACAAAGTGAATTATTTAAAGGCAAACAAAAACAAACAAGGGAAGTAGAGGCAGACCTCAAACTAGATGAACTGATCAAGAGAATGGCTGGTCACAAATTGATGCAAAAAACAACAAACAGAAATGAAAGGACTCACTTAAGGAAGGCTTAAATCCGACGATGGATAAAATAGCTGGTGATGATGATAGCGATATATCAGAAAGTATGCAATTAGTTAAATGTACGTCTATACACATAGAACTTTTAATAATAGTTAATGCACCATCTCAGCTAAGACATAAACATAGTAAGTAATTAAAATAACCAAATAATCCTTCAGTCTCTAAATATTAACCCTTCATTAGTCGGGCATAGGTCCAGTAGACCTAGACCTAGTGTTTTTTGCCTGTAATTTAAAATAAAATTAATATATATCATTGAGCCTAAATGACATCTAATGATGATCAGTCTTGCCGAGAATTTCCGGAAATTTGCGAACAAATTCGAACGTACACAGAATAGGTCCGCCGGAGCTAGCCGCTCAACCACGTCAGTGCTATTTGGTACGTATGCTGTGACGTATGAGAGTTATATACTAGTGTTTATTGTCTTTTAGTGATGCTGAATAGTGTGTTGTGAATAATCGACCTTACTTATTTTGTGACAATTACGTAAAAAAGTATTTTATCATCATTTGGCGACACTTTTGAGAAAATAGGTAATCGTATTTACACACTTGATAATCCGGCAGACGTAGAAGAGCTTAATTGTCGAGTTAATACTTAAGTAATATGTTTATTTTAAAAATCCCCTTTTGTAATCAGCGTATCGTCTCTCCGGCTAAGGGCTTGTGAAAGCAATTAATTTTAATGACTTTCGTCTGAGAATGTAGGGTATTGAATTTCATATAGTATAAGAATATATTCAATTTGTTCAGAGTTAGTTTTTAGTCGAATTTATACCACCGAACCGAAGGAAACTGAATAAAACTTTTAAAGTCACATTTGTGTATTTTAATACGAAAGTAATTTTTGTAATAGAAATTTAATTTTGTATTCTTTCGAACCAGGAGTCTCTTGCGATAATTAATCGTAGGACATTCCAAACGTAACATTTGGCGACCGTGACAGGACTTATATACGGGTGTGCTTAAAAGTTAGTTATTTTCGTTTATTGTAGTGCAAACTTTTTTCCGGCGAATAATTTTGTTTTTGTCGTGAGGCTCGGCCAAAGTTAACCTTTTTAAGCGAAAAAATGGAATCAGTTAAAAAACGCAGAACGGTTCTTCGTAG